CCAGGAGGTCACCTAGGATCCAGGAGGTCACCTAGGAACCAGGAGGTCACCGCTGGATTCCAGGAGGGGCACATGCCCCCTTACAGGTCGGCCTCCAGTAGGGGGCCTGCAGGAAGCAGCCGATGGGTGACTCTCTCCTCACTGATGTTTCTCTTTCTACTTTCCGCTCTCTGAAATCAATAAAAATAAATTTAAAAATAATAATAATCTTTAAAAAAGTGAGTCTGTGCTCTTAAGCACTACCTTATAGATAAATAGGTATAAATCCATTCTGGGAAAAGGGATGAAGGCTGAGCACTCATACCTAGAAAGGCGAATGCGCTTGCTGGCAATTATTGAGTGGACGAAAAGGCCTCTCATAGAGTTTAGGTTGAAGAGAGAAATTATTTAGGACGGCTCTCTATCTCCCTCCCACTGTCTTCTAAACATATTTTGGAAGAAGAAAGTAGAGAATATTACTCAACTTTTCACTGCACTAAGGTGTACCAGCTTCTTGAGGTATAAAGGTGCTTGTCAACACTGGTTATTTTCTTAGAGTTTCTGCCATCTGATTTTAGATCCTGCAAGACATAAATTAAGAATCCTGAAAATGTTACAACAGCCGGGCTGTTCAGTGGGAGATGAAATGTCAGTAGCACAGTGTGGGTTGGGATGTCACATGGAGTGGCTGATCAGAGGAAGATTCTGTCTCATTTCCCAAATAAAACACAGCACACTCTGACAGCACCAAAGCACCCGACTCTCATTCTTATTTGCATGTCCCACCCAATATCAAAGCATGATCTCCCTCATATCGTGATTCCTTCAGGTTGTTCCCTTAATTCTATTCTGAGGAGAAGTGACCACAAATCACAGTGCAGAGAAGCTTGTCAGTCGCCAAGTAATTTGAGTGAGTGCAAACGCCCGCCTGGCTGGGGTGAATCTGCATGGGGCTGCTGCTCCATTTGTGAGGCCTATGTGCTAATGGCCTCTGGCTGGCTGCTCCTGAAAGCACTTGGGAAGGACAGAAGACTAATATAAATTTTAAATTGAGTTGTACTGAATGTAGATAGGAACTGCCTCCTTGTGAAATAGTTTTTAATTTTTTTAAATTCTCCAATTTTTTCAGAATTGACCTTTTTTTTTTAATTGACATTTGGTGGGTTTGGCACACTTAAAGCCTGTGGCCCTTTAGTAGTTGAAGTCATTGTGTTTCTTTCAATCCTTCCCTGTCTTCAGAAGGGCTCATATTTCCCCTAGCTTTGGTGTTGCCAGTTGGGAGCAGAAATATGAGCAATGAGCATTTGTTCTGTGCTGATTTACCATGCAATGGGCATCTCTGGGTTATAGGCCTCCAGGAAGCCCTCCCTGCTTTCCCCCTCTTTACTGTTTCTTTGCTGCCAAATCTGCAAACTGAAGATCCTTTCTAACCTGGGGAAATATGTTTATGCAGGTGGACTGTGCCCATTCTAAGTAGATTCCCTGATGGAAGACAGACCTTTTTTATTGTGGCTTGTGTCTACCCTCTCTTTGGCAAAAAGAAAGGTAGAGGGAAAACATTTTTCCCAACATTTAAAACTGCTAGTGAGCCCAGCCGGGCGTGGCTCAGCAGTTGAGCGTCGACCTAGGATCCAGGCGATCAGGGTTCAGTTCCCAGTCAGGGCACATGCCCGGGTTGTGGGCTGCAGCTGATCAATGACTCTCTCATCATTGATGTTTCTCTCTCTCTCTCCCTCTCCCTTCCTCTGTCTGAAATCAATAAAGATATATTTTAAAAAATAATAATAAAACTGCTAGTGATATTCCCAAGAAAAGCATCCCCAGTAATATTGGAAAACAAAATGGAGCAGTACATGCACTTTATGATTCTCAGAACAATGACACCTGTCGTGCTATTATTCGGTAATTTTCATGTGGCAGAATTAGAAACCTCAGCTGTCATGTCTTATTCTTTGTATCAAGTAAAACCCTATCTGGTGTGGAAATTTTAAGTTTGTCTTTGAAACCTGAAATCTAGATTCTATCAATATTATTGAAAAACAATTAAACTTTTGTTAAATCGTGGTATTTTCATAGCAAAGGAGTCGAGGTCTGAATGGTGCCTTTCTCACACAGAGGAGGGAAAGTGGCAGCTGGGACTGCAGTTTCCGGGACAGCTTTGTTGCCGTACGGGATGAACATATTGACATCAACTCCCTGCTCTGACCTTTTCGTTGTTGAATGTGTCAGTATGATGTGTGAAGCTGCCTCACTTTTGCCTGCCTGCTTTTTGTTATATGCAAGTCAAAAGCACATCCACGGGGATTATGGATTTAACCCAATTTTGACACATCACATTTCATTTCACTGGTTAAGAAAGGATGAGGTATGACTCATAATTTATTTTAAAATCATTTCAAATACACTTAATTATACTTAAAAAAAATTGAGATCCAGAACAAGAGTCATGCAATTTTACATTAACACCATCTATAAAAATATAGTATATACAGTGCTGTCCTATATGTAGAATGAAAGGATTAGCAGTGGCCTTCTCCAGTTTGGGGTCAGAGGGTGGTGCCCCATTATTGGGGATTCTCACTTTCTGCATCACTTGTCTCTGAAGTATTAGAATACTTTACAATGAGCATGTATGACTTTTATAAGCCCATATACATACACATAAATAATATAAAATCCCCAAAAGGCATAAAATTAAAAATTTTAAATGTTTCTACATACTTACAACCCAAATTACCAATTAATTTAGAATATTTTTTAATCACTCCCTGTGCGGATGTAAGGAGACAGTGATAATTTCCAAGTGCTAAACCACAGGAAGGGTGATTCGAGGGCCCTTTTGCCATTAGAGTTAACAGTACAGTCGTTCTTCATCAGGCTGTTGACGAAGTGAGTGAATGAATGAACTAACGAACAAAGGAGGAAGGAACATCATCTCTACATATTGCTGTGAGAAATGAGCAACCATCCTGGATATTTACATGAGTTCCCTGATTGCATGAAATTGGGTGATCAAGTGGAAAAGGAGATTAAGAACCATACACCTGGGTCTCAAGAAGGTGAATATTGCTGGATCATTTTATTCTAAGGTAGCAGAACTTCTTGTTTTTGGAAAAAATCTACCTCTGTTCAATATCAAAACATGGGGTGCTCCA